CATCTATCTCTATATGTACTCTCACTACAACTATCTTTAAGTAATTCACTGGACAAATGTAAAATTTGTGAAAATAAAAAAAAATTCCACTGTTAATTTTGAGGTTTGTAAATGCACTAGCTTTAAATATTCAAATTTAAAACTTCAAAAGAAGCTCACTCCTGTTCACCTTCACTCCCCCCGTTGTCTCGCCTACTGCGGAACGTCAAAAAAGTCACTAACACAACAAAATCTAATGCTGGAACAACATTTAAAATACCAACACAAGAATAATATCAAAAACGAAAGTACTGGAATAAGAAATCTATATCTAGCCAAACCCATACCAACCAGTTGATGTATATACACTTTTTTGTGTATATCTCTATACCTCAGTTGACATATGCACATTTTAATTTTCTTATTGATCTATTTTAACATTTATTTTTTAATGTCAATGTAATAATATCTAGCTAGAAGAATTTCATTAAAAAAGATTGTTATTTGTTATATTAAAACTGTAAAATTATTAAATCATTATTAATTAATTTTGGTTAACAATAATTGTTAAAGATAATTAAGAGTTGGTTAAATATCAAGATTTTTAACTGCAAGACGCCTAAACACTTTAGCTCCAAGCTTGATAAAACTGTAACAATTTTTTGTGGTTCCGAATTAAATGTTTGATCTCTAACATATTAATATTATATATTGTTATTAGTAGTATTTTATACAAACCATAATATCAAAATATATACAAAATAAAAAAATTCAATTTGCTAGGTAACAACTAGCAATTATTAACATTAAAATAAGTAATAATTTTCATAACACATAACTTAACACATTATAAGACATTATAACTTGATTCTCTAATAATTAAAGTACTTTTTTTACCCTGCTCCAAAGAACTTTTGACTGTGTAACTTCTTTCCATTTCTGACATACCATAGCACAGTTAAGAAGATCTCTTAGAGTAACAAAGCTAAAGATATTTACAGAAATCTTTTCTGGAAGAACTGAAACAGGATCTTTTAATATCTCTTCATTGCTTTCCAAAATTTTTCGCTATAAAATTAATTTTAATTTAAGACAAAATATATTTTTAAAAATTTTAGCAATATTATATCTATAACAAATACTTCAAAAAATTCTCTTTTCAGCTTCATTTCAATGCTATGTTTAAACCAGGCATTAAACACACATCTTTGGAGAGCTTTATCAAAGCACTTTTTCACCAATTGATCAAATTCAATGAGCTTTTTTTTCTTGTAATTAATCCAAGACTAAATTAACATTTTAAATTGTTATCATTGAAAAATAAAATAGTAAAACTGTAAAAATAAAATAGTAATCATATGCTGAAAGATTTTTTTTACCTAATTAATTTCATTACACTAAAAAATAAATTAATATTAATACATAAATCGATAAATTGATTAATTAAAAAAAGAATGACTGGATTTTTATTAATCAAGGTTTTTTATATTTTTTTTACACGAATGGAGCATAAAACTTATTCTGTAAAAATATTGACTTGACATTACATATATTTTGTTATCAACCAAGATTTTTTTTCTGTATAATAAATAATATACTAAATATTTTATAAATATAATAAATAATATACTAAATATTTTATGTATAATAAATAATATACTAAAGTAGATATGAAATAGATAATGTACTAATTTATTTAAGTAGATAAGAAATAGATAATGTGATCACTTACTAAGTTAGATAAAAAATAGATATAAAATACTTATTAAGGTAGATATATCACTTACTATGACAACCTAGTTAATCATGAAAGCTTTTTATCTTTTATCATGTTCAAATAAGGTTTGGCTTATCATTTGGCAGTGAAAGTTAAGAATCTGCTAGATGATATTTTTTTCCCAAAAATTTATTTGATGACCTGGTTCATAAATTTTCTGAGTTGTACCCCAAAGAAATCATTTAAATACATTTTCTAATGTTGTCTATGTTTTGATGGCATTGTAGCATTGTACCTAGCATATATATATATATATATATATATATATATATATATATATATATATATATATATATATATATATATATATATCATTTAACTAAGCTAGTGTACCTAGCATATATATCATTTAACTAAGCTAGTGTAATCAACAGTCAATGCTTTTCAAGATTAAGAGGAGAAGTGAGAGGACTTAGTTCACATTTCCCATTTAAGAAACACACCCCTAGTCCCATCTTTCCTTTTGTATGCCCCACAGTGAGAGCATACAAACTAAATTTCTGGAAATTTACATGTTTTAAAACTAATGTTTTATTTCCCAAAATAAGTCTTTTACTTAGATGACATAAGTATTTTACTAAAGTAGGTCTTACTTTTACTTATTAGACAAAACAGAAAAAAGTTTTAAAACAAAACTCAATACTATAATCACAACTAACCACAGTTTTTTTCAAAAAAATGTTTATGGACTAACATTTGAAATCATTTCTAATTGTCTCACTCACTCTATGTCTCGTCTAATTGTCTAACAGTAAGACAATTAAACGAAACATTGAGTAAGTGAGACAATTAGAAATGATTTCAAATGTTAGCCATTAAACACACAAACTTAATCACTTTGTGTCTTTACAAGCAGTTGAGTCATTTGAAGAATTCTGTCATATTTAAAGATTTAAGAAACTACATCTAAAATCGTCTTAATTCTTTCACTCTACTTTTGAACCAAAATGGTTCAAAAGTAACAAGTTTTACCAAAATGGTAAAACATGTAAATTTTTTACTTATATGTATATTTTGAAAATGATATAAGTAAGCTTTTTTCCTCTTTTTGTCTTCTGTTTTATTTTTTTAGAAGTTGAGACAAAACTTATTGAATTCAGCCATCAAGAACAGTTTATATAGCCTAGTGGAATATTTTAGAATATTCAAAATATTTTAGAATATTCAAAAAGAACATTCTGGAGAGTTTTAAAAAGATCTAAAAAGCTATTTTTGGAAAAGATTAATTTTAGAAAGTCTAAAAACTTTTGAAAAGTTTAAAAAGTTCTAAAAAAAATTCAAGGAAGTTTAAGGACATTATACTAAATATTTGGTAAGTTTCTTTTCCTGAATTAAATCTAAATGTTGATTCCTTAATCTCTCTCCCCAGTATCAAAAAAGCTCTCCATTCCCATCAAAAAACCAGGACAGGAGATCTCGACAATATTTTAATGAGAATGAAGCCAGGAGAATGCCAAGCTTCAAAAATTTGTCAGTTGCTTTCACAGCTCAAACCAAGGAACAACTTTAAACTTTATAGCTGAGCCCAAAATTTAAATTCTTAACCTCTTTTTTTTTAACTAGACTTGTACCCAGGGGCACCCTTTAAGTTCAACACTAAAGAGCCGAAACTTTTATTTGCATTAAAAAAAAATGACTTGGCTATTTGTGCCATTGATTCTCTTTAAAATTTTCTTTTTGAAAAGATTAAAAGAGATTTTAAAATTTAAAATCTCTTTTAATCTTTTACTCAGATAGTCACTCATTTTCCAGACTTCATTTTGCAGACCACCTAACATCTTCGAATCTAAATTGATCGAGTTTCTCTTTACTCTCCTATGAGTTGTTCAGACAATCTTATGACCTTAAATCTTTGCCTTCTTCATAAGACTCACTAGTTTGAGCGCCTCCCAAAGTTACATTCTTTTACTACAACTGTACTTTTTTTTAATTTAATTTATTTTATTTTTTTCCTTAAACATCAATCCTTTGGAATTCTCTCTCATCTTCATGCTTTCCTGACTTATAATTTCAGTATCTAAGTTTCTTAAGTATTTTGCTTTTAGTTATTTCCCAACTTTAATAGTAATTGAAGCTTTGTAAGGAGTGAACTGGGTAAAAAATAATAACAATAATAGTAATAACCTGCCAGCAGCACAAATGCTTTCGTTTTGTTTTTGAAATGTAATAACTATGGGCTTCTTCAAGCTCTTGTTTAAGAACATATTTGTTATGCACTGCTGATTTCCAGTACAAATAAAGACTTCTACATAAATTCATAAAAATAAAAATAAAACATTTAAAACAGCATGCAACAAAAAATATAATGCAATAAAAAAAGTATATTACTATCACACTAAAAAAACAACCTGTAACACTTTCTCATTAGAGTTTGATTATAAAATGTCCAAGCTTTTGCAGTTAACAAAAAGTCTGTCTGAAAAAAATTATAATTTAATGACCAAAAAAAGTCAGTGCAGAATGCTCCATATAGAGGTATTTTTTTAGTTTCAATGAAACTATCCCTAAAAAAAAAGTATAAAAAAAAATTAAAAAAAAAAATTCAATATACAATGTAAAAATATATAATTAAAAAAAATTAACTAATAAGTATTTATTTTTAATAATTTATATATATATATATATATATATATATATATATATATATATATATATATATATATATATATATATATATATATATATATATATATATATATATATATATATATATATATGATAATCATTTAAATACAGCAATGTGAAAAGTCTTAAAAAACAATCTTCTACAAGCTTTAGTAATTTTTAAGTTATTTTTTATTTTTCAGTAGTGAAAAATTATTCACAGGCCCTTCACTACAATTTCACCACAATTGCCTCATTTCAGAACATGAAATGCTTATTACAGAACTAAAGATACTCACCAGACAACTGATCCTTAGAGAATATCCTTTACACACCGTTAATGAAAATATTTCTAAAGTACCTTTTAAGACACAAACTCAATTATCCATGCTATATCACATACACTCACTTCCTTTCTACCCTTAAGGTTTTAAATTTAACTTTAAATTTTAAAGGTCATACTTGCATAATTAAAACTTAAAAAAAGTAAATACAGGCAGTATGATTTGTTGGTATTTTGGTGGCAGTTATAGCTTCTTCTAGTGTTTAGTTTGATCATTCTTGCTAACCAATACAATACCGCTTGTTTATTTACATTAGTTTAAAAACTAGTCATAACTACATCAACTATTTTAATTGATTTAATGAAAGAAAAACAAACAACCAGAAAAACAAACCAGCAAGTAGGTGACAAGGCACATTAAAGCAAAATAATTCTTCTAACAATTAAGTATTTTGTTATCTTATCTAATCAGATTTAGTTCCTTCTGGTGCAAGCAAAGAAGCCACAGTTGACTAAACTAAAAAATTACCAAGTATCTCTAGTAGACCAAGGATTGCAAAACATTTAACTGCTGTTTGTAATGAACCAAGTTGAATGAATATTTTTCACACATTTTATTGGGTTTTTGTTCTTTGTTTATGTTTTTTTTTTAATATGCAATTTAGATTTTTTTTAACAATTTATTTTTAAATTAAAATCCGGGCAAGCAAATTTTATTTTTATTTTTTAGCCAGAGCGTACTTTCATATTGCCAAGTCAGTGACAGGCTTTTTCATGGTCTAGAAATTCACCCAATGTGTATCAAATATAAGGATTCAATTTGAATCCAATTCAAAATATAAGGATAATCAACATGCAGTTGTGTCCATGCAAGTGGACTCTATTACACATAAAGTCCATATCATTAATTTAATTGAACTTAAAAAGTTGTTATCAATGAAAATATGATAAAAAAATGATGGAGAGCTACACTTGAAGACTAGATCATAAAGGTAATTTACTCTACACTCACAAATCTCGAAAATCGTCTATCCAATATGCAATTGATTTTTCTTACCAGACTAAATGAGCAAGAATATGAACTTTTTTCGTTCTGTCTCAATAAAAACAAACTTTCTTTGTGCTGTGTTATAAAATCAAAGTTTGTGCTCAATCTAGTTGTTTTTCCACTATCTTTAGATGTAAGCAATAGAAATATAGCACTTTAAAATCCAAGGACAAAAATTTCTTTCCATAGTGCAATTTATGTAATAAAATGTTATAAATACTAATAATGTAATATTAAATATTACATTATTGACATAAACATTATTTAATCAAATTAATTTAGTAAAACTAAATTATAAACAAACAAAAAATTATCAGATACAAGTTTAGAAATTTTTACCATGAAAGTTGCTCAAACTTAGTTGGATCTTCTTTTAGTTCAAACATTTTAGCTATCATAAATCCTTCTACATCTGCAGGTTGATATACAGCCAAAGCAGTAACCAAGCTCTACAGGAAAAGTTTATTTAAAATTGGCAAATTAAAAAAAAAAAGTGTTATATTGTGTAAATAGGATATATGTATAAATTAAATATATATGTAGGTTTCAATTAATAAAATTCAGAACTTTGTGCTACCTTCTCTAATAGCAAAATACAAAAATACAAAATGGGTAGGCTACTGGAGAGAGCCTAATGTATTAAACTTTGCTCTTTAGGTACCTATATTTAAAAGAATTTTTACCTTTTTGTCTTTTTTATCTTTTATGTCAAAAGCAAATAACCTTGCCTCACCAGTGGTATCCAATGCACAGTATAGCTTTTCCGTTGTTTAACAGTTAACTAATAGCTAACAAGATCAGAACCATGTATTAGAACCATGGCTTTTTTTAAAGTTAAAACTTTTCCAAAAGTCTCTAGAACTATATTTCTGAGATAAAACACAAGATTTTTTTAAACTATGAATAATTGAACTAGAATCAGTCAGTATTTACTTTTTACTTTGCATTACCGTCAGACTTTTTGAACTCATTGCATGCAATAATAAAAAGACAGTTTTTCTCAAAAGATATTCATTTTAAAAAGACAAAAAAAAAGAAGGATTAGAAATAGTTGCTGCAAAAGGTAGAAACCATGGAAACTATGGAGTAGAACAAGACTTAACTGGAAACATACAAGAAGGAATAAAGACTTCCATGCCTGTCTGAATCCTGGAGATTATGTAAGAGGTGCTTATATCAGAGGAGAGACATTAGACATTAACCACATAGAAAAACACAAAATCAATCTCAGTCAACCTTAATACAGTATTAAGAAATGGGATGATAGGATAAATTTGATGATCTAAAAGAAGCCAGGCTATTCAGTATATAAGCAAGATAATAAACCAATTTATTCAGTACTTAAGCTATTCAGCACATAGGTGAGATTCTATTCAGCACATAAATGAAATAAGAAGTGCTCCTAAACAAAAGCACATAAAAAAATGGTCAGAGGATTCAAACCTCACTTCACAACAAATAAGTGAATTGATAAATGCAAAAAAAATTACTTCCAAGAACAAGATTATTCATAAAACGTATTAAACTGAAATAATTAGGCGGTGATGATAGTTCTCATTAATCAACCCAGATTTGTAACAAAGAGCTTACTATGTGATCTGAACAATGTACACCAAAAGCACTAACACTGTTCATGCCCAACATTGCACTGTTAACATTTATATTTTAAAGTTGTTAATGGAATCAGCATCTCTGAGAGCTACCATAGAGTTAGGGAAACTTGGCTACCAACCAGTCTCAAAAACATTGAGTTGTAGAGATGTACACTCAATATGAGATAACAAAAGGAGTTGCATTGCTACTTACAAG